GATCGATCATGCCATCTAGGTGCTTTTAGATTTTTACGTGGAGTGGACTTATCATTTCGCTAGAATATTACATACTACAACCCACTCCCAGCTAGACAGGCCCTACAGATTGGGTTGGTACATTAGTGATCGTATGGTCGAGTTCGAACCAGGCCTTATTCAAGATTGAAGGGTGGTACGTTTATATTAGCAACTGAACTTGGCGAATCAGTCCCCTTCAGACACTTTCTAGTGGTGGCGCTGAACCCATCAGAGATAAGTAACCGTACATATGAAGCGTTCCTTCCATCAAGGTACTACCATCCCGTGTCTAGTAACTTTCCACAACACCAGAATAAGCTCTACGGGTGTGGTGCAGTTGGAACGAAAGTGTCGCATCGCGGCGAGAGATACGTCGCGCGCGAAGGAACGTAGCAGGATGCAGCAGCAAGTAGGAAATACAGGAACAAAAGAACTAACAGTAAAATCACGCCGAAAGTAGTAATCGCATAGCGAATGAGCTTTATGAAGAGCGTTAGAACTGTTATAATAAGGCAAATGGTCCGCGACAGCCACGTGCAGCTGATCGATTACACAGAACCGTTTCTACTGCCCGTCTCCCAAGCTCTGCGAGTGCTCGGTAAAATCCAGCAGTCATTTAGTGGGGCAATTTCGCGTGCCATTTCCAACGACTCTTTTGCTCATTTTCTCTAGTACAGACCTTCACAGCAATGCGGAGCATGTTTCTAACAACGGCTCGTTTCTTCTGAAATGGATGAGCTGAGCGAGAATGACTAAGTCGCCGAGCGCTTTTCGAATGATTTGTCTGGATCGTTTGCCGTGATGTTTTCACTTTCGGCCCTGAAGTGTGACCTATCCTTCTTGAATTTTTCTCCCAAATAGGCGCAATCGACTCTTTGAGCTCCTCGACCATTCGTGCACGCAGTTTGCATCTTCTCTGACGATGTATAGTACGAGTGAGACTTAATGTTTCAATTCATTCTTTTTAGACAAGATATCTCCAAAGAAAGCCCCAATCAAACTACGTCTGAGTAAGGGAGGATTGGATGGCATCAAAATAGGAACTGCTATTTACGGTGATAAACGCGAACTTATTGGGCATCTATGCTCTCGAGAGGCTAGTTTGTACTATGAAAGTAAGTTGATAAGGTATAGTTTCATGGCCCTGACTTCATTTCAACAGGACATCTTCCACTTCTCTCCGTTATTATTATTAACAACTCCATTACTGGTTTCTTTTAGAGTTTAGTTCCCTCAAAATAAAGTTCATTCAAATAGCGAAAGCGTGATATTGAGAAGAGTTATTGGATTCAGCCATGCAAGAAGAAGAATTAGAGCAAGGCACCATCTTCGAAAAACTCAAACTACCTCACCAGTTTGTGACAGAAAAAGATGGCTACAAACGCACATACATGTATGTCGGGACAGTGCATGCAGTAGAGGGCAACGAATTCGAAGCGAATGTCACCGACCTGAACAAATTCTGCGATGTGAGTACCTGAACGGATGTGGGGCTATCGGATCTGTCAAGCAGGCCTCCCCGTTAGAGCCCTAATTGAAAACCAAATAAAATGGTGAGAAGGGGCTCTTTCTGGGCTCTCGAGAAACAAATGATAATAGAAAACCCTTCGTGCCTACTTTCTGAAACTGTTCTCATCATTAGTTCGCATCAAATTGTTCTCTCACATCAAAGCTGTTTATTCGGATGGTTCCTGGGAAGATTTTCTGTTTTCTATCCATCTCTTATGGGCAACATGGGTCACCAATTGAACGACTGGTGCCAGTCACACTTTTCATCATTTTGAAGGGAAACTATTGTAGTGACCCGGTGAGAATGGAGTGATGTTATTCACCCTAACCAACACAACTGCCCGTTTCCGTAAGCAGACACACATACGCAAGCGACCCATAAGGGTCTCGGTCTAATCATTGGAAAATTTCCTAAAAGAGCCGTGTGATCAGCTCATGAAGACTACTTTTAGCTCTTTCCTCACGGTTATGCTGTTTCGAACGAAGATTTCGAAAATATTACAGAATTCAGAGAGATACTACATAAGGTCAGTATCGATCTGTTGAAGTAATGTCCGTCAAAAAATACTGTAGGCATTAATTTGATTTGGAAGAAACTGATTGACTGTTGGGAAACTTTAGCTCTCCCCAACAGTACCAGTACGAGTACCTGCAAGACGAGATTCAAAAATCAGAAACCAACCAAATGCAGACTGTAAGCCTCAGGAAAATCTGAGATCGTATGCAAGTCGGTTTTTTCATGTTAGCGACGACGGAAAACATGTGGTTAGTGGATATTTGACATATATTTTTGTGTTTCGAAATTCGGTGAAGCGATAATGATATACACCTATCAGTTGGTACAGATCATGCAGATCTGTGGAATAATTGAACGAGCTCCACGAGTTTTCTAAGTTTACAAAATGGATTCCAAAGTCTAGTGGATGTATGACACATTGACCCCAACAATGCTTCCCAATCCGTAGGCCTCACCCAAGTACCTTTGTATCGCGTCGTATTGGTTGCGGGTATTTGTAGGCGTGTTTTCGGATTACTGTACACTCACGAAACCCTAGAAATCGTCTTGCTGGGTGTGGGACGTTAGTCTCGACTGACATTACTTCGCGCCGAGGTGCGAAGTGACCTCATTAATGACTAACCTCATCTTATTTACGCGCCTTCCCTTGATCGTAACTAACCTTATCTTACTTATGAGAGTGATGGCAATGATGAAAATATTGAGAAAATGAAATTTCAAGAGAAGTAGTTTTTAACGTAAAATTTTCATTGCCTTCGGTTTCGAAAGTTTTATTACCATGCAAGATGATAGAAATTTCAACGAAAAATCCCATCAAAATCTAAAGAAGCCTACTTTTCCAATAAGAAATATCTTAAAAATAATAACTAAACAACTCAGATGGTCTAGTTCGTTACGAATTTGGATATCTTTATGCGAATATCTCCTGGATCAAAACTCCTCTTGGATTTGGATGCGATTTGCTCCTCTCCGATGAACTTCGTCGAACCTGAGAGAAGGCGTGTAGATTGGAGCGAAGGGTGCGGTACGGGTTGGAGCGGTTGGATAGGTGCAGAAGTAGCATTGTACAAGGGTAGTGGTGCGGGTTGGAGCTGCATTGGTGGAGGCTGCATCGGTACAGAAGTAGAATAGTAAAAGGGTTGGGGTGCGGATTGGAGTTGCGTTGAAGCTGAAGGGTGCCCCTTGAAATCTCGGAAGTAGTTGAAAGTGTCGTCAGAATACATAGTAAGGTTTTAAGCAAGGTCAGATTAGTGAAAATTCAAAAAAAAAAACAGATAACGAACAAAAGGATGTTTTTGCATCTTACACGAACTTCATCTTTATGGCCATCTAGTTTTCCTATTTTATATGGTAATAGAACTTTTAAAACCGAAGACCATGAAAATTTTACGTCAAAAAACTACTTTTCTTGGAATTTCATTTTCTCACTGTTCCCATCATCGCCATCATTCCAATAAGTAAGATAAGGTTAGCTACGATCAAGGGGAGGCGCGTAATTGAGATGAGGTTAGTCATTAATGAGGTCACTTCGCACCTCGGCGCGAAGTAATGTCAGTCGAGACTAACGTCGCACACCCCGTCTTGCTTAAGCGTTGCTGAACCCAATCTAGAGAATGGAGTAGTTAGTATGGAAACACCGCAATCAAGATGCCAATCATTGTCGGCAATCGCTCCTCAGCGGGTTGTAGTATAATCAGTCGAATATTAAGCACTTCAGTCATACGACATTTAGATCTTGAAGGAGTAAATACCACTCAAAATACTGGTGCGATTTGCTTCGAGACAGATCTAGAGTCGGGAAAACTCAAGATTATTTGAAGTGCTCAAGGTGCTCTAGATCAGGAGGGGTGGCAGCAATGACAAGCTCTGAAATATCGCTGCTATTCTGCTATCAAAAACACTTTTGTTAGACCGTTACATATATGCTCAATCTCGAAACATTAAAGATTTCTTCAATTCAGGAAGTTCCTTATGAATTTTGGACAGAAGGTTATCCGCAAAATTTATGTGCTGACAAACCGAGAACAACTGTGGCCATGGGGAAATATGGTTATCTTGATGTTCCCGCTATCGCCCGTCTTCCAGTTCTGTGCGCTTTTGGTCAGAAACCTGATCAAACTAATCTTTGTTTATACTCTAGAATTCAAATAACAACATAGAAAGTGTGATGGAGGGTTCCATGTATTACGAGATCTTACTAAAAACACAAGCACGAATGGACTCCCGAATGGACCTATGAGGACAACTTTCACTCTTATTTAGTCATGGTCTCAGTTTATACTGTTACCTGTTCTATAACTCTTTTGTACCTCCTACCACTGCAATGAGCTCAAAGAAATGCTCTATTGCAATAGTTCAAAAAATAGAATTTCCTTCCATCTCCTGAGTAACCCTTACGCTCCTCGTCAACATTCTCCGTATTTTCTATTGGGAGTCCTCACAGTCTAAAGAATCAGCTAGGTCTCTGAAACGGCTGTCTTCTCCTCATTTCCTGCTAATATCCCTGTATTCTTCTACGACTCACCTCTAACTCGGCCACCTTCTCTTTTTTTATATTGATCTTGAAAACCTGTTTCGTTTTCGGCAAGAGAGGAATTTCATGATGAACATACCTTTCCTTCCTCGATTCAGGAACCAACCGAAAAAAGGCAACAACCACTACTACTACCACAACCACTACAACTACTCCTACGACAACAACTACCACAACCCCAACCACGACTACAGCGACAACAACTCCTACCACCACTACAACGACAACGAGTACCACTACCGCAACTCCAACAACAACTACAAATGCGACTAAATCTGAAAAAACAGAGTCTCCCGATCAAATGGGTGCAACCTCTACAACGACTGCAACAACTCCAAGTACTAGTACTACGTTTGCAACTACACCTACAACAGCAACTACTACAACTACGCCCACGACAACAACTACTACAACTACACCTACGACAACAACTATTACGACCACAACTCCGACGACAACCACTACAGCAGCGACATCAACCACCACAACTACCACAACTACCACAACAACTACAACTACAACTACAACAACCACAATTCGCAGAAAGACAGACGACGATTGCGGCCGAGGAGCTCGTTATATCGAGGCGGATGATCGGTGTGAATGCAAAAATCCTGACACTGACGGCAAGAAACTGAATCCTGAAAAGTACAGTCATGTTCAGTATGTGAGTTTTGGGAGAATTAGATTTGAATTTGAACATTCTAAACATGGGCCGATGTAGTATAGCGACAAGTGGTGCTCTACTGCACACGCATATTCCGCGGTCGAAACCCCTGCTGCATTTCGTCGAGGCCATCCCTCACTCTAGGGTCCGTTAGTTGGTGCCAGACACGTTTGATAGGGCAAAAGCACTGACTTACACATCGGTTCGCCACGGCCAGTCATTGTATAGGCCACAAACACTCCCATGATTATGAATGGAAGTCAAATACTAGCTTTCATGATTACCCTTAACAAATCCTATCAGTAATCAGCTTATCAGCACTCACACGTAAAACAAGTTGGGCCGGTCGACCAATATCAGCACAGAACCGTTAAGTTGTAAACTTTACATGATATACCTTGATTTCACTTGATTTTTTGTTACCTGCTGTTTTGACGCCGTAGTTCTCAAAGCGGAAGGCTCACAACGTTGGCGATTTTTGGACAAAACTTCAGTCTCGGACGGGACTCAAAGCAGTACTCGTGCTTTCCGGGCACCGTGCTCTATCCCTCATGTAAGCCATTATCAAGGCGAACGCAAGCGGGGTCTCGGTAGTGTAAGGGATAGAGTACGGTCCCCGAAAAGCACAAGTACGGGTTCGAGTTCCGTCCGAGACTGAACTTTCGTCCAAAAATCACCAACGCTGTGTGTATAGTGTTCCTTCTTCTTGGAATGTATGTCAAAGAATGAGCTTGTTAGCGTTTTCTGCAAGACCTGAACGAGGATTCAGGGTGAGTCGAGGAGAATTCGCAACTCAACCCGTCCGTGGCCCTAGTCGCAAAGAACGGCAAGGAATATTGTGAGCCAGCGTTGAGCAGAGATTCGCCTCAGCTATCGAATGCTTAACGTTTCCCTGAGCTAGAACATAGCTCAGACTTCGGTCGGAGAACGTAGTGGAGTCATTCGATGTTGTTTCGCTTGGCACTGCATCTTGTTGTATGCTTCATAGGAGAAAGGTCCGGTTCTAGAACCACTTTCTTTAATGTACTGCAGGTATACTGATGACTACTTCATCGTAACGTCAACGCAGTCAGAAATGGAGGAGTGTTTTCGAATGTTGAATGAACAAACAGAGTACATTTAAGTTACACAAAAAGTACCACGCGACGGCGGCTCCCTTATCTCAACACTTTTGTCCAAGTGTCCAGTAACGTTGTTAATGCGAAGTGGTACGGTAACGCTACTTTAATCTCATTTATCTTATTTCATGCTACAACAGCCCATCCACAAGCTGTCAAACGTGCAATCGTCAGCAACATATTCATAGCAGCTACAAGTATCCACATGGGTCGAGCTGATCGTCCCGAATGGCGACGTTTAGCGTGTGAGGTAGCTTCTGTGAGCGATTATACGTTGTCACAATGACGTGGAGAATGTCGCATTTTCACATTTGTAGTAACAACATCAAGCAGTTGTTAGCTGTTAGTTCTAGCAGCTGTTAGTTCGAAACAGGCCCAACTATTAGCAGTGTATAGCATGTGATTGTAGTGTATGTCAAAAAAAAANAAAAAAAAACAGTTGATTGCGCACTGACAGGCGTAATCTACCAAAAAGATTGCCGGGCGTGTGGATCGACATACATCTGAGAAACGGGAAGAACTCATCATAAGTATAAGTGAGATAGCAGAAATATTACTCGCCACTGACAGTCTCCTATGGTTTTGCAGCGGATTTTGTTCGCTTTTGTTCGCTACAGCGGATTTTGTTCGCTTGAGCTGTGGACGCTTGGTTAGTCGCTTCCAGATTATCGGTTTAAAATTAGTCGTCGCAACAGTTGTCAAGACGCTTGTTGAATGTGCAAATCACCTCAAATTGCCTCCGAAGACGACGATTGTATCGACGCGTCAGACCTTTTGAACTAATGAATTTGCCCACGCTAAATATCTCATGCGGCACAAGAAATATATAACTATCGCATCCTTAACAGAGTCACGTAAACATCTCTTTGCATCTTTTCGGCTATTTTACAATGTGTGTTCATCGGTCGAGGCACGATTGATTCATAGTGGATTGTAAGGAAAAGTATGGAGACTTTTTTGGATTATACAATGAAAATACCATTGACCAAAGAGGCTACGGATGGTACAGGAACTCAAAATAAGAATATTGTATATCGAGCGTTGCTCACTCCGACGAATCCACTTTTCAAGGGTATGGTATGTTTTTACTGCGAACAAAAGGAAGGTGAAAGCAAGTCGATTATGTTCATTCTTGATTCCTCTGGATCGGTTGGATCTCACGGCTGGTCTCAGGCAAGTACGAAACTGTAGGAAATATTAGTCGGGGGATTCAGTAATAATAGATGGTCTGATAGTCGTCGTAGTATACCATGAAAAAACAGCTATAAAGGTCTCTTAACAGTAGGTATCACCAAGGAAGTTTCCTACAAGGAGTTAAAACAAGATTATTTCAATATGTGGCATTGAATCTCTTTCACTGAGGCTCCCTCACACTCAGGGATTCCTAGCAGGTTGGTAACAAGGCCGAGTGGCGCGACCCCAGGTGTCGGATAGGAGAGTGAACCGCGGAACAAAATCACCATCAGCTGCCCACAGGCACAGGTGGATTCCGAGAATCGACCCTTTTTTCTTTCTTGCTGAGTCAATCTCTACCTTCTATCTCCTAGGAGGTGTATTCATACAAACTTATGTGGAGAGCCTGCAGGCACCATTGGTATACTGCCTATCGGTCCAGGCGAAAACTTGCATTCGACTGACCGCAAGGAAATCCGAGAGGGAATCGGAAGCCCCCTTCAACAACTTTTCCTTTCTGGGGTAGCCTGGCTAGCTGCATCTAACCCAGCCCCAACTTCACAGCCTGGCGAACTAGTCGTGGATACCCATACGCCGAATCAGTGACATGAATAGGCCTCATTTCCCTGAAAGTGGAGAGCCGTCAAACGGCAGCGTTAGTCGGGAACGCTCGGAAAATACGTTCAAAACCCGTCGCTAAGAGAAAAGATGGCGATCGCACGAGTCTATCGCACGAACGCACGAAAGCGTGTATCGAATACATGATGATGCATACTAGGAAGATCCAGTAAGACATCATCGGATCGAATCGAAAAAATGGCACGATGCACGTTTCTGAATCTGTGCAAGAACTGCTCCTCAGAACATGCGAACGACAGCACAGGCGTCGGCAGTGTAGATGTCCCCCACTGGGCAGAGGTAACACCAATTAGCAGGAAGGCTGACGGCCCGAATGAGACGTTAGCGATCGATAATAATAATAATAATCTCCGTTGCTACGGAGCAATATTAAGTTTCAAAGAGTAGGAGATAAAAACGTATCTCGTAACGTATCTCATAACCACAACACCAACACAAACCTGGAAAAGCTTTTTAGAGAGGGTCATGCTTACTCCAAGGTCGCCATTGGTGAAAAACGTCTGAAAAGCTACCCGTCGCGACTCACTCAGGAATGGAATGAGCAGGGTGAATAATCCTTTGAATTTCTTCTGCCGATCCACACCTTCCATGAGTTTCCCTAGCCCTCACATTTGCAATGGATATGACAGTCACTGGTGGGCAGTTTAACAATGAAGTAGATTCTGGAATGAAAGTTTTGCCTAACTGACGCAGCTGTTGTTCCAAAGCCCCATACGGGATCGGACCATCGTCTTCTCCGCGATAGACTCTGTTTTTCAGTGCGTGGACAAAGAGCAAGAAAACTGCGAACTCCGGAGAAGCCCCGTGACCGTCACGAAGCGAAACTGCTCCGCTTCCATTGTAGGTTTCTGGGGAACGCCTTTAGCGGCAACGCCGGTGAGGGTATAACCGGCTCACCGAAAACCTCACTATAGTATCAGGAAAGGAGAGTCTGAAAAATGCGAAGAGACGTCCCTCTTCGAAGATTATCGAGCTGATGCACCATCGTTGTAACGCGCGTACTACAGGCAATCGTCAACAATCGTCCGCAATTGTGAAGCTATGCAGAGCCGGAGCTTCGCCAGTGAAGAGACCAGGACAACTTACTTTCGTTGTCATGATGGAACAAATACTGCATATCAAAGGACAATAGGATTCTACTCTGATCTATTCAACAGTAACGTCCATCTGCCTATCATATCTTAGACAAGGCAGATATTCCGCTCCATCGGTTCTCCTTTTTAAATTCGGCATACAGATCGAGCATCTCCGAATGCTCCAACCACGAGTGTATAGGCTGAGAAGTCAACATGATTATCGACTAACTTCAGAGGAACTGAGCAGAAGAAAACGCTCTGCATGGAAAGTTTTCAGGAAAATCGAAAGAACAGTGAAAAGAACAAAGTACATTAGCTACACGATCATTTCCACACCGTAGTCTTTCCCGCCTTGGCGTATCGGACTATACGAAAGCAGAATAAACATGCAATCAGCCTCATTCAATGAGCTGTGGAGAAAACGATGCTCGGAATTTCCCTATACACACATGTGTGAAAGGGATTTCAGAGTTCCAAGTTCTGTCAATAAACGGCGATCAGGGATGCTGATGCTAACGTCAAGAGATCGAAGACGAGGCGCTCGGACACCAATGCGATGTCGTGGGGACTCTTGACCATGGCGGTCACAGAACGGTCCCTTCACTTCTTCACCACAACGGCAGTCAGCGCAATGGCCAGACTTTTTCACGAAAGCTCTGGAGGAACGGATGCTATTTCTCCTGTTCTTCGAGCGAGAATGGAATAGTCTGACTCAGGGACGAATGAAGACCTTGGTGGAGCCTACTCCAGGAAATCGATGATCAATAGGCCAACAGATGATAAGGCGATGGCTCTTGAGGATCGACTTACTGAGTCCTCCGGGCTTTGATTTTCGAATTACAGTCGGAGTTTGGCTCCAGATCCAGAGGTATAGACAAAATGGGTTGATTCAGGGGTGGACTTCTAGCGTTGGGCGCTCTAAAACTACAGTGGACAGTTGCAATCTTCAAATAGATTAGTATGAG